AAACAAAATTTGTTTAATTTACTAATGTTTGTATTTTGAGAACGATTTCCGAAGTGGAAATTGAAACATCAATAAACATACTTTAACCTTTAATTGTGGGTTATTCCCATTTAAATAGTAAATACTTTAATGCTTTATCTAGATTTATTGAATCGTTCTCTTCTGTTTATTCGCTCGTATTTGGTTTTCACTTCAATGATTTCAAGTGAAACTTTTTTGTGCTCTCTGAACCTTGTTGAAGATATCGTTTACATAAAATAGTGAGTTTCTTATAACATATATATCGTCAGTATATGTTAGAAGATGCTTTGTACCTTGGGATATTTGAAATAGGCGTATTTCTCATTTTAGTAAGCTGTGCTTTAATTTTTTGACAATTTGAATCGAGAATCTAGTTCCATCTCTGTTTTTTTTACAATGACCTTTATATAACATATAAAGCCATCAGAAAGCCTAAACCTAAATTATTGAAAAATTCTAAAATAACTTTCTCCAAGTTTTCACCAGTATCAGAAAATATAGGTAGAAATCCCAAAAATCCTTTTATACCACTTGAACATAGTGAAGAATGACGGTAAGCTGATCTATGTGAGATATATCTGGTGTTGAATCAATTATTAGAGAGTAAAATTTGGCTTCCTTTATTTCGTTCACTATAATGAGTTTTAAATCTTTTGATATAATAGAAATAAATTCATCACATATTGTAGGGATAAATAGTTTATTGTACCAATGTTGCAGTTCAAACGAATTCAATAAATATTACAAATCACCTATATAATTACCATTATTTATACAAAAATACTTCATTTTTACCACGAAACGCCAACACGTAAGAAATAAATTTGATTGTCACTACTACACGTTAAAGTATGTACTTCCCTCCAATATATTTTTTTCATTTGTTATTTTTAAATATGTGCATAGTAAATAGGGATGGCAACGATATATCCATACATTAAATATACCAATATCGCCCACACAGGATTAATACAGCATATTAGCACGTATGTGATATATCCTTTGAGATGTGGTGCTACAGGAGAATGCATAAAATATCGTGGATTGAAAAAGTAACTAATATAGAGGTGTTACAAAGAATGAAGAAAGAATGTGAAGTCATAAAAACTGTTAAAATTAGAAAGATTCAATATCTGGGACATTTAATGAGGGGTGAGAAGTACGTATTACTGAGGTTGATTATGCAAGGGAAGATACAAGGGAAGAGAAACCCAGGACGACGCAAAATGTCCTGGCTAAGAAATTTGAGAGAGTGGTTCGGCTGCTGCTCATTAGAATTATTCAGAAATGCGGCCAACAAAGTTAAAATAGCGATGATGATTTCCAACCTCCGCTAGGAGAAGGAACCCGAAGAAGAAGTGATATATCCTCCAGAAACCAGTATACTACATACTATAAAATACTAGGTCTAAGTATTTCTTGTCAAGGTCAGTCTCTACTTCAAATTATGTTGTATGATTTCGTTTATTATTTTATACGTATTGGGGCACAGCGATATAGATGTATAATGTTTTTGAATGTAAAATTCATTGTAAAAGCGCTTAACGAATCGGCATAATTTAAATGTTTCAGCAACAGTTATGAATATCATGTATTTCTGTTAAATAAAAATGCAAGAATTATAAAAATTAAAACCTAATTTTCTGGCCCTAGGCCATAGGCGTCTAGGTTGCCTAGGACTTAGTTCGCCCCTGAACGATAGAATGAAAGTAGTAGAAAAGATTTAAAAAAATAAAAGCATAAACATATCTATTCCTTGTTTTTTGATAAAGAAAATTTTGTACACTTATTTTAACACTGTAACTTTAAATAATTGATGTATTCGACCGTTACTTTATGGAAATTCATTTTATGTAACAGTAAAACACTGAAAACTTTGTTTTTAAAACTTACGACAAAATTTATTTTAAACCGTTATCACTACAGCTGTTTTGGCTGATTGCCTTTCTCAAGTGATCTATTTTGGCATGTGTACACTTTATATTAATGAAATAGGTTGAGGAAGGGAGAACTGTTTGTCTCAAGTTGGTCATTCAGCATTATATCTGCGTTTTTTAATTTGTTGATTTCTATAGATTCTAACAAAGATAGCTTAAGGTCTTTATTTTGAATATAAAGAATGTTAAATTCGTCATTAAAAGAACGATTATTATCTACATACGCATTTCTCTTTCTAGATCATAATCATTCTTCTAATGACGAATTTAACATTCTTCACATTCAAAATAAAGGCCTTAGTCTATCTTTTAATGATAGGATCTATCTTTAAGGATGACCTACGGCGCAGAAACCCTAACACTCACAAGAACAATAGTGAGTAAACTACAAGTTGCGGAAAGGGCAATGGAGAGAATAATTTTAGGGATTTCTCTACGTAATAGAATACCCAATGCTACTATACGCAGATCAGGAGTAGCAGACGTTATTGAGAGGATAACAACACTAAAGTGGAACTGGGCAGGTCATGTAGCAAGATCAGTTGATGACCAGTGGACCAAAAGAACTTTGGAATGGGGACCCCGAATATAAGCTAACAGAAATAAAGGTCGACCCCCAACGAGATGGACAGATGACATAAAAATAGTGACTACAAATTGGATTCAGATGGCGCAAAATCGGACTAAGCGGCATGCGAGAGGCCTATGTTCAGCAGTGGACGTTAAAGGCTAGTTGTTGATGATGATGATGAAGGTATCTTTGTTAAAATCTATTGAAATCAACAAATTAAAAAACACAGATTTAATTCTGAATGACTATCTTGAGACAAACAGTTCTCCCCTCCTCAACCTATTTCATTAAAGACTATAAAGTGTAAACGCATGCCAAAAATAGATCACTTGAGAAAGGCAATCAGCCGAAACAGCTGTAGTGATGAGTTTAAAATAAATTTTGTGGAAGTTTTGAAAACAAAGTTTTCAGTGTTTTACTGTAACTTTAACTTTTGTACGCTGTTTGTTATCAATATAAATGAGTTTGACCGATATTATAAACTTATTTACTCTGCACAAAGAGTCTCTTTAATACCTACTGTTTTTTCTATACAAATCTGATTCGAATTATATCCGAAAAGTAATAACCAATATGTAAAATTTAAATTTTTATTAAAAAATTAAAGTTAACCCATTACTTATGAGGTCAAAAGATGCACCCTTCACGAAGAGTGAAGTACTAATGAGACCACCGCAATCGGGCATACCCTGAGTAATGATTAATTAGTTAATCGGCTAATTCCTCTTCTAATCACCCCTTCAATATGATTTTGTCAAATAGGTCCCTTTCAGGACCAACTATTCTAATTATGTCTATAAATACTGAGAGCATATCTAGAGATAAAAAAACTTAAAAAGAGAAATCATACGATTTCTACCTGGCGAAATCGAATTCAAATATCAGCCACCGTGCTTTCTAAAACTTGCAAAGCAAACAGCTTGATGAATAAATCGGCAAGGGAATCTAAAATTGCATTCCAAATGCCGTTCATCATGGCCAAAATTCGTAGTGAATTCGATTTCTGATGCTCCAAGCGAAGTAAAGAAATAAAACATAATGACGGTATTAGATTTTGATTCGATACAGAGCAGCGACAAGAGGCATATGCGTATTTCGACCTCTTTAGGTCTCCTCAGTACGGTATAGCCACTACTCCGTGTCGAAACAAAATATTTTCCCGTCGTAGACCATAGTTATCAAAAATAATTATGTACAGACGTAACTACGCCATCTAAGAATAATAAGAGAAATCATATGATTTCTACCTGGCGAAATCGAATTCAAATATCAGCCACCGTGTTTTCTAAAACTTGCAAAGCAAACAGCTTGATGAATAAATCGGCAAGGGAATCTAAAATTGCATTCCAAATGCCGTTCATCATGGCCAAAATTCGTAGTGAATTCGATTTCTGGTACTACAAACGGAGTAAAGAAATAAAACATAATGACGGTAGTAGATTTTGATTCGATACAGAGCAGCGACAAGCCGCATATACGTATTTCGACCTCTTTAGGTCTCCTTAGTACGGTATAGCCACTACTCCGTATCGAAACAAAATATTTTCCCGTCGTAGACCATAGTTATCAAAAATAACTATGTACAGACGTAACTACGCCATCTAAGAACAAAAGAGAAAGCATACGATTTCTACCTGGCGAAATCGAATTCAAATATCAGCCACCGTGCTTTCTAAAACTTGCAAAGCAAACAGCTTGATAAATAAATCGGCAAGGGAATCTAAAATTGCATTCCAAATGCCGTTCATCAAATTCGTAGTGAATTCGATTTCTGGTACTCCAAACGAAGTAAAGTATATATATATATATATATATATATATATATATATATATATATATATATATATAGAAAAAGAAGTACTTGTGACTCGTTTGGAAAAAATATAAAACTGTTTTGGATGGGTTGGAGTCAATAAAACTGCTGCTAACGTCTTATTACAAAAAATATTAATACAAAAATGTCCTATCCTAATAAATGTTTCTCTGAAATAAATTTTGAAAAAGTTTCTTAACAAAAACAATTGAATTTGTAAACAAAAATTTAATAGCTACAAATAAGCCTCAATGTCATAAATACCACCTTAAAATTTTTTTCTAGTTCAACTTTGTAAGATATTTTGTATTTTTTAGAAGTTCTTCTTTAGAAGCTATACGGCATAAAGTGGACTCCGCCCATGTTAAAATTCAGGTTTAAGTGAGCTCCGTGGTCAAGTGGAGTGAACTGTTAACTATATTCATCAAAAACATTAGTTATCAAAACACAAATACATTATTTTTTATTTTATTTATATAATTAATATAAACTATATAGTCGGCCATTTATAGCCAGCAATTATAACAGTGGCGTTCTAAAGAATATTTAAATTTAATATATTTGCCAACTTCTCGCACACTTTTTTGAATATGTTTTTTGACTTTTATTAAAATACATGTAAATTATAATGAATTACTTTCATATACTTAAAAATTACCTCTGGTAGAGTTCTATTTCCTGCATGCACTAAAAATTCGAGGACGCAATCAGCAGATCCGGAATCAGATAGGTTTGGTTCCACTACAGGATACAAAGATTTTAGTTTGTTACCCAAATCTTCGTTCTTCATAACACCCTCTCTGGCTTTCATCAAATTCACATTGCCTCGTAATGTATTTATTTCTCCATTGTGGGCCAACATCCTAAGAAATAACTGAATTTATATTAAACTAAACAGAAATAAATTTTTGGTTTTAAAAGATCATGTTACACTATAAGCAGTCCGTGGCAGGTCCACATGCTTCTAATTTTAGCTAATTTTAGCGAACACACTTCAAGTATGTAGAGAAGTGTAGAACAGCTCCTGTTTACTCTTCGCGTTTTTTGAAGTGGATAATTCTAATTATTCAAAATAAAACAAGATAAACTTTTAAAAATTACATTTTATAAATAAGTGCTGACAAAATTCAACGCTTTATCGTAAAGAAAAAAACTGTCATATACTCATTTCGCAGATCCCGGTCTTAACGGTCTGGTAAATTTTTTTTGTCTAGTAATTATTTTTTACTACGTCGTTGGTTAAATTTTGACCGAGTCGTAGTAGCAGGAAATTACTATACAAGTTGTTGCAGTTTCGCAACGGTAAATATTAAGACTTTTTGTTAGTTTTGAGTCTCCCCGTAGTATATTTAAACGTGAACAAGGGTACAGCGATTTAAAGAAATCTGCGAAATATCACCAGACATGTATGTGTGAGAGAAGGGAATGCATGCTATATACAAAATAAGAGTCGAGTTTTATCTCTCAAACCACACAGATGTGTATGCATTTTGGGAAAAAGGTACCTGAAAGACACTTCGTAACAATCTGGCGATCGAGAGAGACGTCCAATTTGTGCTTCATGTGTACGACGGTGAAGACGTTTGCGATAGCGGGAGTGCTATCTTTTCATTGGCTAAGGAACAATACACCATTTATCTATGTTGTTGCATATATCAAGTACGTGCACTTGGTATATTCATGTGATATTTGTTTGAAACTTTATCGCATTTGTGCCGCGATCGCGATAGAACGTTGTCAATTGGACTACTTACATTTGTTTCGGTTTATTTACTGTATTGTATAATTTTTGTATTTTGTTATATATATATATATATATATATATATATATATATATATATATATATATATATATATATATATATATAGCGAGTGTTTGCAACTTTAATTTTGTCGCTTCTCGCATCCCAATCGCCATAGTTTCTTATCGGCCCAGTCTCCTTCTTGAAGACCTCTATTTTCCATTTCTATATGAATATTGGATATCCATTTCTTTCTTGGCCTTCCCCTTTTATTTCTCTGTGTAGGTCTCCAGTTCCAAACCTTTCGTGGTATCCTTTCTTCGTTCATCCGTCTCAGGTGTCCATACCATTTTAATTGTTTTTCGGCTATCGTATCCATTATTGTGTTCTTTACTTTCATTCTCTCTCTTATGTTTTCATTTCTTATGTGGTCAAACAAAGTTAACCCGGAATATCTTCTCCAGTACATCATTTCCGTTGAGAGGAGTTTTTGTGACATATTCTTGTTAAAGACCCACACTTCTGACCCATACGTCAGCACCGGCTGAATCATAGCCTGATATATATTTTTCTTTGTTTTCTTAGTTAAAGTTTTATTCCACAGGATCGGATGTAGTGTTTTTATCATGTTTTTTCCTTTTCCTATTTTTCTTGTTATATCTTTGTCGTCTCTCCCGTCTTCGCTTAGTGTAACTCCGAGATATTCGTACTGATCAACGTTTTTAATTAATCCGCTTTCTGTTTCCATGTCTTGACCGATGCCTCCTATATTCATGTATTGTGTCTTTTCGGTATTAACCTCTAATCCCCATTTTTTGAATTCGTCTATTAGTTTGTTTATCATGTACGTCATATCTTGTAGGTCCTCGGCAAGAACTACCTGGTCGTCTGCGAAGAGGATTGTGTATATAGGAGTGTCATTTACCCATATGCCCATTGGGCTGCATTTTCTCATCCAATATTTTAAAGCATTACCAAGATATATTTTAAATAGGGTTGGGGAGAGGCAAGAGCCCTGTTTGACACCCTTTGTTTGGGTGAAACCCTTGGAAATTTGGTTTCCAACCTTAATATAAGCTTGGTTATCTTGATATAGCTTTTTCACGGCATTTATATATACTGCATTTATACCTGCGTTTTCCAATGTTGTCCATAGTCTCTGTAGTGGTACGGAGTCAAACGCTTTACGGAGATCTATAAAAGTGGCATGAAGTTCTAGTCCTCTTGCTAATCTCTTTTCTATTAGATGTTTGAGAGTAAATACATTGTCGACACAAGATCTCCCTGGTCGGAATCCACTTTGTTCTTCGATCTCTGTGGCTTCTTTTTCTATTCTGGCTTTCAGAACTCTTTCATACAGTTTGCCAGTGGATGACGTAATGCTGATACCTCGGTAATTACTGCAGTCATTCTTGTTTCCCTTTTTGTAGATGGAGTTTATGTACGAGACTTTCCAATCTATTGGGATACTTTCTCCTTGTTATTAATTCCTTTTGTATTAATAATTGTATTAATTATTTGTATGCACCGTATTCTTAATTTGTTTTTATAAAGTTGAAATATGTATCCGTAATTAGGTTGTTCTTTTTGTAAGATTATTAATTTGTCTTTTATCTGTTTATTTATAGTATGTTTGCGGCTATGGTAAGTTTGTCTTTTGTTTTGTCAGAGGTTTTTATAGAATCGACATTTTTGTTTTGTTTTGTTTATGGTTGTCTTTTGGTATGTCCCTTCGTATTGCCTAATATTTAAGTGTGTATATATTCTTCTTTAGTTGTAATTGTATGTGGTTATGTATATTTATGTTTAACTTCACTGCTTTTTAAAATTGATTTTTATATAGTCCGCTGGCTTTCATTTCTCTTCTTTTATTTTAATATACATACCCAATCCGAAAGGGGAAAACCAGCGAGTTCTAGATTAAACAGAATATCATTCTTTCCTCCTTCAGGATGACCCCAATTGTCATTTAGAGGTCATCGTATGAGCAGAACGCAACATAATTAACCAAGGATATATCCTTATATCCAATATTTAAACAAAAAAAATATGCACATGCCATTTATTAACAAAATAGACAGCATAAATTAAAACAAAAGTTTATTTTTTAAATTTTATAGTCTTTTATAGTTTAGTATTTACGAATGGAAAGTTTTTAATGAAAATTAATAAATATACAATCCCATTATTCATCATTATACTATTTTTTCAAAGAAAAAAAATCTGTAAAAATAACTGTATTTGAGCAATTTTTGTGATATATTGATGTTATGCAAGAAACCATATTCAAATATTTATTATAGTTTTATATATTTTAATAAAGAAATATTAGCTCAAACAGATATGTAATAAAACAAAAGTTAAATACTTTACTAATGCGAAGTATGCAGTTATTTCTGGTTAATTAAAAATTTCACGTTTGGATAAATCCGGTTCAATTTCCAAACGGTTCCTATATTTATTTTTTAGGAAAACCTGTATTGAAAACCCTGCCTCACACTTAGGTCGAGGTCGTAACAACAGGAATTAAAAACTATCGCTTTTCTGTTAAAACTGTGTACTCCTGGAGGCAAGACAGCCAAAAATCTCTAAGTGGTATTTTGTCGAATATGTCTTATGAGTGCCCTATCACACGATAGTTCAATTACTGACTCAATATCTAAGTCCGGAAGTCCTGTGACGGATTCTCCGTCCATTGTAAATTTCCTTATCCATGCTTTGTTGCTGTGGATGGGGGGAAAATATTCCTTCAGATTTGCCTCCAGTCCTAGCAGGTGTTCTTGAAAGCTGCTGAAATCTCATCCGGAAATAAATTCACGTTATACCCTTTTTGTCGTTCTGTTAGCTTTGTATTTTCCTGCTTCCGCGAGACGTGTCCACAAATTAAGTTTTTTTTTGTTGCAGCTTCCACCTTCTGTTGTACTTTTTGTTCAAGAAGTCAATAATATCACAAAGATAGTCTACATTGAGTAACAAATGGATATCATAAAACTGTCTTTAAATTGAAATATTGCATCCTTAGCCATTCAATTCAATAAGTCTTTTTAAAACATTCGTTTAAAACATACGTTGGTATAATTATAGTGTTGGTTTATATAGTGTTATTTAAATAAACTTAGAACTGTGAAAATTTGGTGGAAAATTTTAAGGTGTTTGCTGTTTTCTATCAACTTAAATAAGTAAATTTAACTCTATTTGACTCTATTATAGTAATTATCTATTATGATGATAAAAGGGTTGCAAATGTGAGTCCATAATTGAACAGATATATTATAAAGGTCAATACTCACAATCTAATATTTACTTTCAAAGTGTTACAGAAGCGATCGGTTTCGAGGCTTACAATATTTGCTTCATCCTCAGACCCAGCAAAGAGTTTGTTTTGTTAAAAAGCAATAATATGGATATCGCCAATAAGAAGTTTTCCGCTTACATCCAGGGTACTGCCTGTGTTCATTTTTTCCTTATGACACTATCATTGTAGTGAGGTGATGTGTTATATGTATGTAAAAAAAGGTAAAGACCTTTAGGTTAGTGCAAAATATGTGATTTTCCATGTTCTACAAGTTTTAAACTATATACAGTGTAAACTGCCACATCCGGATCAATGTGGCGACCGACCGATCCGGATATGAAAACATCCGGATATCAAGACCATTTAAAAATATGTAGCTGTAAACGGCCTGAAATTTATATAATGGTTATTTTCTGCTGCTTTACACACCGAACACGTTTTTTCGAAGCCATGTCTCTCATCCTTTTTAAGAGCATCGCGTCACTTGCACAAGTATCTTGTTGACTTTGAACGTAGCACGTAGCACAGCCTTGAACTAATTCAATGCTTCGAAATGGCTCATCATGACCGAATTTTTGTCAGTGCTTTCATCCCGTTCGTTGTCTGAGTTTTTGTCATCATTCTTGCACACCAGGCGACCAGGTTCAATAATTCGCCATCTGTTATTTTGTTCTGTTCGTCTGCACTCAACCACTTGTTAACATCGTCTTCCTTCATTTTTTCACATTCCGGCAGGTTCTTTACCAGTTCATCAATCTTTCTTCGTTGGAAGTTTCATTGGTACCTGGTTTCTCTCCTGTCAATTCATCAGTAGCTTTGTGGTCTG